AATTACTTAATTTTAAATAYTAAAATTCTAAATCCTTTTATGTTGTCTTGGTCCATTCATACATGAATGGCGTCTGATTGATTTGAGTTTGGACTTTAAAGGTCAAAACTCAAAAGTGCCTGAAGGTTTCAGGTTCAAATCCAAGGATGAATAAAAATTCTCTTGTGGCCACATATATTCAAATGCGATGACTCCAAGATACCAGCAAAACGAGTGGTCATCTTAGGATTAGTCAACTCGCATAGCGGATTGGATATCCAGGTTAAGTAAAAAAAATAATTTATATGATCAGGATATATTTAGAGGTATCAGAAAAATCAAAAGCTAAATAACCAAATCGAACCAAACGAGGTTCGTGTTAAGCAGTTTTCTAGGTAAATAGTYCGGTTATCCAAATAAGGATGTCTTGTTGAGTTATATTTATGTAAATTGGTTTATCTTTACTAAAAAACAAGTCAACAACACATAGTTATTTATGTAAAGTGTAAACCCGAGGATAATAGGCTAAATAAACCATTTGGGTAACGTATTTTTGAAACTTCCATTTTGGTACCTAAAATGTAAAGTTTTAAACATTTAAGTACCCGGGTAACCGGTTGAAGACCATATTTAGATTAAAAAAGACTAATTTCAGATTAAAAAAAATTCATGTCACTAACTACGTTAGCAAATACTACTAAGTTGGATACCACATCACTCTCCACATCAACATGATAACCGGTTAATGCTTCAACTGGTTATCCGGATACTTAAATGTCCAAAATTTTATATCTTATGTACCAAAATAGAAGTTTTGAAAGTACATTACCCAAAATAGAAATTAAGTTAACAGTACGTTATTGTTTTTATGCAATTTGTCCATTAACATATCAGGAATAAAACCACAAATCAAGTCATCTACAATTTAAGTTTTTAAAATGTTTAGGGCAATAACTAAGAGGTTTCGTGGATACGTTTTGAATTTATGATCGAAAATAAATAAATAAAARTGGTTGCATGTTCGGCAAGTGACCCGTACTCGTCAAAGTTAGGTCCATTTATGTATATTGATTGCATAAACATCAAGATTTAGAGATTTTATGGTACGTTTATAATTCGTAGTTGTCAAGCCGTATCRTGCAACTCGATTTGTGATTTTGAGTTGCAGATCACTGTTCAAATTCCACCGCGCATATGTTACCAAAAATTGATATTGAAAACTCAAAAAAAAGACAAATTGCATGAAAAAGTAACGTACTTTAACTTGATTCTTATATTAGGTAACGTACTTTCAAAACTTCATTTTTGGTACCTAAGATGTAAAGTTTTATGTTTAGTACCCGGTTAACCGGTTGAAGACTAATTTTATATTTAAAAAAATCAATGTCACTAATCACGTCARCAAATAATACTGAGTTGGATACCACATTACTTGCCACATCAGCATGATAACCGGTTAATGCTTCAACCAGTTACCGGGTATTTAAATGTTTTAAACTTTATATATTATGTACCAAAATAGAAGTTCTAAAAATACGTTATTCAAAATAAGAATCAAGTTAAAGTACATTATTTTTTCATGTAATTTGCCAAAAAAAAGTATAAGTTGGTCTGTSTATTGGACCTCTATATGTATAAACAAACCAACTTATGAATTTGTTTTAAACTTTTAATTGTATATATTATGGCGTTACTGACTGGATATTTTAATAGTCGCTAGGTACAAAAAGCACCATATCGCCTTTTGCTGCTCGAGACACGAAGTTTTGAAAAAAGCTCCTCAAAAGAATCTGGACACTACACCGCACAACAATCACCCTTTATGATTTATAGATCAGGGGTTTGTATACAATTAGGTTTTTGTTGTAAGATCTTGGATGTATTCTTGATTAGGGTTCGTATACAGTTAGGTTTTTGTTGTAAGGTTGTGGATGTATTCTTGATTAGGGTTTGTACACAATTAGATTTTCGTTGTAAATTTTTTGGATCCATTATTGATTTAAGACTGCTAGTTTGTGGTTTTAATCAAGGTAAGGGGCTGTTTACTAAACGCTTACCCGGGTAAGTACTTACCAAGTCACATTACCTTACCAAAAGAATATGACAAAAACCAAGAATTTTATTCGATAAGAGCGAACCAAGGACCGAGAGTCTTATCCGGTAAGTGAGAACGATCTCTTACCACGATTAGCACTTACCAAGTAAATTGTTGTATCCAATGTCGTTTTGGTGGACTAAATTCTTACCGGATAAGAAAGAAATATGTAAAACCACTAAATGCCTTCAAAGTAAACATGTTTGACTGACTTTTCTTAACCAAGTTAGGACAAGGGACCAAATGCGTATGAAAAATTAAACTATATGGACGTTTTCTGTAATTACTTTGATTTAAGGATAACAAGAGAACTTCCCAAACCTTTTTCAAAATAGGTAAAACAAGAGAGAGAGAGTGAAATTCTCTGAATTTAAAGAAATTTCAAAAAATGATTATTTATGAAATAAAAATGAATTATATTTTATTAACCTGGATATCCAACCCGTTATGTGAGCCGATTAATCTTAGGACGACCACCTGCTTTGCAGATAGCCTGAAATGACCTTATTTGAACCTCTGTGGCTACAAGGGGATTTTTATTTCTCATTGGATTTGAACCTGAGACCTCCAGGTACTTTTGACCTTTGGAGCCAAGCTGACCAATCAAACATCACCCTTGTGGTTTGAAAAAAAAAATTATACTTCCTACCAAATGGAATTTTTTAACGTTTAGGAAAAAGAGATAATATTTTATTAAATATATTAAATATTTTAATAATATAATTAATATTGTATTATTTGAAATAAAAAACCCGTTGTATATGGAGATAAATTTTCTTTTAGAGAACCTCTTGGAGGTGATTTTAATGATTAAACTTTTTATACTTTAACAAAAATATTATTATTTAATAATTCCTGATACATCTTTTATAAACATATTTCACAAGATATACAAAATCATGCGTGATATAAAACAATTTCTTATACTATTTATTATAAAAAAAAATACTGTGTAACATTAGTAATTACTAAAATCAATTTTCTATTAAAAATCATACAGACAATCACTATATTTTTTTAAATTAAGAAATTGTTAAAAAAAATATAAGAGGGGTAGGATACAAGAATTTGGGGCTGTTTGGTTGGTTTTTGATTAAGTCATGTATGAATAAAGTTATCTGTATGGATTAATTTGTATGTATGAATTTGAAAAGTTTTTGTTTGGAAGAGTTTTTTTTCATGTAAGGACTGGGAGAGCTAAATTTGGAAAAAAAAAAAACTTGATTTTTTGCATAAAACTATTTCATAGAAGTTTATTGAATAAACCACTTTCTATATCATTAAATCACTACCAAACAGTCATGTACAACTGACCGAATAACTTAAACTCATGAAGATTATGTTTGGTATACTAATCGAAGGCTGATAAACTAGTTGGTAATTGATAAGTTAGTTGATGAACAAACCATGTTTGACAAAAATTAGCTGCTAAACGTGTAAATTGATGGCAAAAAATCGTGTGAAAAGGAAAGTTAAGATAAGAAGTGTGAGAAGGGATCTGGTGACTTGATGACCTTTAATCTCAAACTAACTCATCAATTGCGCTTGATACAAAGATTGATCCTGTGTATTTCGGTGCATCTCATCATAATGTACATCCAAGGATGAAGATCATTTCTTACGCTTCTCATTTTAACTCTCCTTCTCACTAAAACTCAACCCGTAAATTGAACAAAAAAAAACATTTTAAAAAATTAGTCAAATACAATAGTTTATAATATAATTAAAACGAATATTTAATAATATAATATATTAATACAAACAAGATAATAAAAAATTGAAATAATATAATATGTTAATTAAAAGAATTTTAAATTTATTATTAT